CTACCGGACCTCCTGTGTCACAAGCTCAAGGCCGTGACAGCGCCAATGTCTGTTCCTACTGTGATCGCCCACGCCACAACATTCGCCAATGCCGAGGCCTTCAAAAGGATTTGCGAGATGGACGAGTGAAGGCTGGGACAGTGCTACCTGCTAACTTCGCCTTCAAGGGTAACTCGAAACGCGATCACCCGTACCAGAACTCGAACAAAGGTGGCAATGGGCGACACGGCAAGAATAATAACAACCGCGACTTCAAGGGCAACAACAATAGTAGAAAGAACAAGCACGGAAATGGCGGCAAACAACGCGGTCAAGATCGCTACAAGGACCGCCCGCTTGAGTCAGACAATGACGGTGACGACGACAGTGATTCTGGAAACAACCGCAAGGTAACTCGCCAAGGACGTCGTGACACAGGCCTCATCGCTGTTGCTACCACAGTCAATCTCCCGTTTAGCCTTACTGCTCAAGCCAAGATAGAACCCGATCCCACCTGGACAATCGACTCTGGCTGCACTCGACACGTCACCCATGAGTCTCAGTGGTTTACCGACATCACCTCCAGTGGTGGATCCATTACGGTTGGTGGTAATAACCAAATCCCCATCGAAGGCATTGGACGGGTCGATCTGGAAGTCACTGACTCCAAGGGCACTATGCAGAAGCTTATCCTTCATGGCGTCCTGTATGCTCCCCAGCTCCAATTCAGATTGCTTTCAATTCCAGCAGCTGTGAAGCACGACTTTCGCTTCAACTTTGACCGCAAACAGTGCTCTATGCAAACTGACCAGCGCTTTAAGATCAAAACGCCCATGGCTACCAACACGGATCTGTATCAGTTCCAAGCCAAACCAGCGGCACCTCCAGCGGCTCTTATTGCCTCAGGTAAGCAACGTTCCTTTCTGCTCTTACATAAACGCCTTGGACACCCTAACGTTCGTGTCTTGAATGACCTATCTAGGCGTCAGGCCATACATGGACTCGATGGATCTATACCTCTAGGTCCAAAGACAGATTTATTTTGTGTTGCCTGCACGTTAGCGAAGTCACACCGCTCCCCATTTTACTCTAATAGAGTTGTTAAACGTGCTACATCACCTTTGTCAAAAGTCCATTCAGATATCTGTGGTCCACTACCTGTGCCTAGCCTTACTGGTTGTCGCTACTTCTTGATCTTCATCGATGACTTTTCTCGATTCATGTTCACTTATGCAATTAAGAACCGTAGCGAGTTGTATGGCTGTTACGAAGACTTCAGGAAGAAAGCCCTGAATATTTTCAGACAAGATATATCTGTCATAGAGTACGCGTTCAGTGTTGAAGACAATGCAAACCAGGGTAACTTTGAGATTCAGCGGCTTCAAGCAGACAACGCTAAAGAGTACGAGGAGCTTGGCCGCATCATATTTAAAAAGTATGGAACTCACGCCCAGTTTACCAATGCATACACACCTCAGCAAAACGGAGTTGCAGAACGCCGCATGCGTACCATTATGGAGCGTGTCCGAGCCCTTGTACTTGACGGCAAGCTACCGAAGCAGTTATGGGCCGAGTGTGTCTGTCATGTGACCATTCTCATCAATATGACTCCTAGCTCCAAGACGGATGGACGAACCCCGTATGAGCTTTGGCACAACCGTATTCCATCCATGCAGTACATCAAAGTATTCGGATGCAGCGGATATGTCCACATCACGGAGCAATGCCGAGACAAACTCGACGCTAGAGCCCGTTTGTGTATGTATCTTGGTGTGCCTGACCATAAGAAAGGCTACCGTCTGATGGACATCAATACTCATGCAATTATCGACAGTCGTGATGTAGTCTTTAAAGATGACGAGTTTCCCTCTCTCACAGGCCTGACGTTTACTCCAGAGCCCACACAGTCCACGAATCGGCAGATATCTACCGCTACACTTGCACCTGTACCTCTGCCACCTGCAACTGCTACTACAGTAGCACCGGAGCCTGAACATGTGTCAGAACCAGTGATCACACCGTCACCCACATCAGGCCCTGCAATGACAACAGCGCCAGGCACAGTGAACCAACGTGTACTGCCCTCACTGAGGGAGGCTGTTGATCGAACAGCCATACATATTTCTTTTCGAACAGAGACGGACTCTGATCCTCCGCATCATTCGACTTCTAAGCGACCCCGCCTCTCTGCGGAAGCCATTGATAGCTCTGAGGAAGCCAATGACGTAACTCTCAACTCTGAGGAAGACATACACGAACAGGAGCAACGTCAGCATTTACTGTACACATTACTAGCTATTCGGTATGTGTCTGAGCCCACTACGTATCGGGGAGCAATGAAGTCTTCCCACGCTAACCAGTGGCGTAAAGCAGCTATATCGGAATACAAGTCCCTCATGGACAATCACACTTGGGTGTTGGTATCCCCTCCTAAAGGAAGGAAGATTTTAAGTAGCCGATGGATCTTCGTAGTAAAGTATACCGGCACTGGCGAGATCGACCGCTTTAAAGCGCGTCTTGTGATCAAAGGATTCCTTCAGGAATATGGCATCGACTACAACGAGATATTCTCTCCTGTCATCAGGATGGAGGTACTTGAACTACTTCTTACTATTGCAGCTCTTCTCGACTTTGAAGTCCATCAAATGGATGTTAAGACAGCATTCCTTAATGGCTACTTGGAAGACGAGATCTACATGGCTCAACCGGAAGGTTTCAAAATCCCGGGCAAGGAGCACCTAGTGTGTAAACTTCTTAAGAGCTTATATGGGCTTAAACAAGCGCCTCGTGTATGGTACCAAACCTTGTCTGCCTTCCTAGAGAATCTCGGGTTCCTGAAACTCATTAAAGATCGATGCGTATTTCGACGCACAGTTGCTGACATCACCTGTTACATTGCAGTGTACGTCGACGACTTACTGATCATTGCGCCTACACCAGCACTCGTCAGTGAGCTGAAATCAGCCTTGAAAAAGCGTTTATCCATGTCAGATTTAGGGGAGGTGAAGTACTTACTCGGCTGGTCAATTCAACTTGACCGTAAAAATCGAACGATGTTTATCCACCAGCACAAGTACGCTACGAAGGTCATTGACCGCTTCAGCGACTACATTCCGTACCCTATTGCAACACCAGCAGAACAGAACGCTAAACTTTTTCCGTAAGCAGCCAGCCTAGCAGTGAGCAAGAGAAAGATGCGATGAAATCGATTCCGTATCGACAAGCTGTAGGTAGTGTCATGTATTTAATGGTAGGCACTCGACCCGATTTGGCATTCTACATGCGAGAGGTCAGCCAATTTCTAGCGAATCCAGGTATGGATCACTGGAAAGCAGTCATTCGTGGTCTAAAGTACCTATCTGGAATGAAAGAATACGGTCTTCTTCTGGGAGGCTCGTCCGATATTACATCGGAAAACCTTGCCGATCAACTAATTGCCTACAGTGACTCTGACTACGCCAACTGCCCCGACTCGAGACGCTCCATTGGAGGATACGTGACAATGCTAGCTAGCGGTCCTATCTCATGGCTTTCGCGTAAGCATCATACTGTAGTTCTCTCTACAACAGAGGCAGAATATATCGCCCTGTGTCACTGCATGCAAGAGATGATATTCCTCAAACTTCTCCTCAACGAACTTGGCTTTGCTACAACGCAGGCGAACACAATATACGAGGATAATCAGAGCTGCATCAAAATCTGCTACAACCTTGAACTTCACGGACGATCAAAACATATACACGTACGATACTGTTTCGTGCAAGAAAAAGTAGAGCGGCATGAATTCAACGTCACCTACTGCAATACGAAAGAGATGATAGCTGACATCTTCATAAAAGCTTTAGATAAGCACCAGTTTAGAGAACTAAGGGCCAAGCTCAGGATGAAATGTCTGAAAGCAGGATCCGGCCACTCAGTTTAGAAATACCCTGATAATACAAGCGCATGAAGCGTGTCTATATTCTGCGTTCTTTTTGGAATTTTTTCCCACTGGGGTTTAATTTTTTTTTCGCACAAGGTTTTCCCTCGTTGAGGTTTCCCTGGTCAAGTACCGAATTATCTAGACACATGAGTTTATCAATAATAATCCATGCTTAACAACAAATTTGTTAGAGATACGCCAGTACATCTCAGTCGCTTTCACTTTCAGCATTTGTGTCACTGGACACGTAGTCGGTGTCATAATGTGTAGATTTTGTGGTTTCTGTGTGACAAATGACATCATCACTAAATACCCCAGCTTAGTGACTTCTTCGATGGAGTGGTGGCCACGTGTGCTCGAGAAGCCCCTTCCCCCCCTCCTCCAGCGTGGCGATGAGAACTGGCGCAAGCTGCAGTGCTGTCCGCGGCGCTTGCTTCTTCTTCTCCCTCATAAGAAGCGCTCTTTGCAGATCGGAAGGGCTCTGTGCCCACCGAAATAGCCTCTACCGATGCGAGGGAGCCTGCCTCGTAGCAGCGGCAAGTAGAGACGACATGTTGGGCTCCATCCTTGAGTTCCTACCAGGCGTGTCACTTAGCGTCCTCCTTCCCTAGCAGAAACTGCAGGGCAAAGTCAGATCGGCTAGCCTAAGCGACTTCCTGGCGGCGTTTCAAGGACTGAGGAAAAGTCCTTTAAGGAAAGTTTTACCTCTGTTATAACATAGAATTGTCAGTTTGATAAAATATGTTCAGAGGTAGGGAGGCTGTTGAAGTAGCCTCTAAACAGTTTGATTACATTGACCTAGTCACTCCAAAATATTATAATGAGATTTAGGAGGTCCTGTTTAAGTCGGTATGACTGGCTTAAACTATACAGACACTAATGGCTGGAGTACAGCTATTGGTGGCTTCCTAATACTAATAAAGTACTTTTGACTCCTCTCCCTACTTCTTCTCGACCTGTCATACGAGTTATAAGAACATGCCCATTGTGATTATTTCGTGATATCTGTTATTACCAGTAATTTTTTAATAATTTAAACATTTTAAATTTCTGCAAGAAACAACTGATACTAGAATCAGATTGTCTAGGTTGACTTGCGATGGGCTGGGTGGATGTCTTCCGTCGTGGGCGCGCGGCGGTGCCCAGCCACAGCTGGTCTGTCTACGGGCCAAAGGCGAGGCTGCGCAACATACATCCCATAGAGATGTTGCACGTGATCAAGTTCCCGCACCTGAACCTGGTGCAGACCCGTGCGTCCAATTCTTCCCTACATGAATATAACTTGATGTATTCGTGCTGCGACTGATGCTCTACGCAGATGTGCGTCCGTCTAAACTTCAGAGGGAGGTGAGAAACAGAGCGATAAATGATGTCTATCGGACTTTCCTTTTAACTGCTGCGACTGCGTTCCATTGGGCGTTGCAGTTGATACGGTGGGGTGCTGTGCTGGGCATCACGTCGGCCACGTTCCAGTTCCTCACCAACTTGCACATCGTCCCCATAACTGGACGCACACAAGTCGTGGTGCTTTCCCGGGAGGAAGAATGTGTACGTCAGCATTAGAGTTGTGCTGTGGGAAAGTTGTTGGTCTCAATAGAAGGTTGTTGGTTGTTGTAGGAACTTGGGAACAAAACAGCGCTGGAAGAGTTGGCAGGGGCAAAAACTATCGACGACGGGCCGCAGTTACAGATGTGCATTGATGTAGCAACGTAAGTATTTCATTGTGCTCATTGCAAGCTGTATGTACGTCAAAAGATTTGAGAAACTTTTTATTTTCATTACCTCTAGGCGCCTCGTGTCAGTGTCGGAGCATCTATTCCCTCGCGAATACGACTGGCGAGTCTGGCTGGTGGACAATCCGTCCTCCGCCAATGCGTGCTGCGCTCCCGGGGGGAAGATCATCGTACAGACGGGGATACTGGACCTCATCGACCTTGCGGTACAGAAGGGTATTTGTCATAGCAAGCATGACGCGCTTGCGGTCGTGATGGCGCATGAAATCGGCCACGCGCTGGCGAGACACACGGCCGAGTCGATGAGCATGTTGCCGTTGATGTATCTGCAGTTCATTCTCGGCATGGAGAGCCCGCTGCTCAAGTACATTTTCCAATTCGGTACGCACCTACAGTACCAAGGCGGCGCCGTGTATCGCATCCTCGTTGTGGTGCCGTGGTTGAACCAGACTAATCGCGTGCGTTGCACTTGTAGCCTTCAACTTGCCCTTCAGTCGGTCGCAAGAGGCCGAAGCAGACCACATTGGCATCATGCTACTTGCTAGCGCGTGCTACGATCCGTCGGAGGCCCCGCGGCTGTGGAAGGCGTTCACGGCTTTCTATGCGGATCCGGAGGCAGGTGAGGACGAGCTGGACATGGATTTTGATTGGATATCGACGCACCCTTCCAACCGCAAGCGCGAACGAGCGCTGGACGGGCTCGTGGAGGCCGCGTTGGAGGTGCAGCGGCGCAGTAGCTGGTGCGCCTTCCTCCAGAAGAAGGTGTTGGAGTTTGTGGGTGCTAACACAGAGGCCGAGCTGCTGCACCACATCCGCGCTGCCATGACGCAGGCCCAAGCAGAAGAAGCCCACGCCAACAGCACTGCAGCGCTGCGTCCGCGACGTCGAAATACTATTGGTGCCATTCACGCCCTGGAGAGTCAAGAGATGCTAAAGATCATCCTTGACGACGCAGCAATGGCGGATGGAGAGAAGCAGCAAGTGGCAGCAGCCAGCGCATAGCACCTAATCAAGCATACATTCATTTACACTCGTGTCTGGACCACATCTTGTACTACGTAGTTTTAATACTTACTACTACGTAGTAATACATAGTCAATCAGCATCGGGGAGATCTCAAACACGAGACGAGGCCTCCTTTTACCGCGTCCGGTTAGGATTACAGGCTCGCTTCGTGTGCCGCTCGAAGCTCGCAGCTCGCTCGGATTCAACTTGCGCCTTGAACTGTTCAAGGCGCTCTGCAAAGCATCAGAAAGCAGCAGGTGACGCTACATGGAATTCGCTGGCTCGATTGAGCTTGTCACAGCTTTTCTTTTTGGTAGTTGAAGACTTCTTGAAGTCGAGCAGCGAACTCGCAACATGAATGCGTACATGTAGTAGAGCATCACGTACAGTACCGGAATGTTGGCACCTGCAACTCGCTATCGCAGGCCACGTACGTGGCGGGTCTGGCAACAAATTCTACTTCTCCACTGACGTGGCAACGGTTTCGACTGTCCTAGCAAATACTACATGTAGTAAATGTCGCTGCAGGCGCACACCGAAGCCAGCATCTCTTATATTATTCGGTTCAATTATTGTACGCATGGAATCGTCGACGCCTTGGTAGGGTCTTAGACCGGGGTCTTCCGTAGTGCGCTATCAACTTCTCTCGAGACGAAAACAAGCTACACAGCGGAAAAAGAAGGTCTTGTCGGGGGGAATCTACAATCCTGCTTCGCAGGGCGAAAGCCGGGTCCTTGTGGGAGCTGCTGAGGAGCTGCGCTGCTCGCTTACATACTTGCTTTCGTTTATATAGTGGAAATGCGGGAGCTCGCGCGTGTGGGTTGTTGGTAGTTGTGCAGTGTGCTGGCATACTTCCGCTAGCACACCGAGTCCATAGCAGCGAACTGCTCTGAGAGCGTGCGGTTAAGAGAACAGCGCGAGACCGGGTGATCTAGATCCACGTCGTCGTCTTGCAGATCTTGGCTGTTGTTGCTCTTGGGACTGATTTCCTCCTCCATCTCGGGGGTCAGCTCACAGAAATACTTGCCGTTGCGCACGTTAAGAAAGTCCATAAAAATCTGCACAACACCGCGGTGCGTGCTGCACTGCTCGATGGCAACAGGCTCAGCTTCGCGTAGCTTGGTCAGTACGCTGCCCAGGAACTCATCGAGCGAGTTCTCGTCACATACGCGCCCTGGGCTCAAGGTGCTGCAGGCGGCGCAAATCTCGCAACGGTCGCTCTTAGCGCGGCACATGGCCCCCACGAGGCGAAACATATCGAGCACGCTCTTAAAGTCCTCCTTGCTCTTGTAGACCGACGTGCTCTTGCCCTTGCAGAACACCTTGACCTCAAACATCTTAGTGCCGCCCAGTGCGTGCGCCTCCAGCACAGTTGCGCTCAGCGTGCAGACTCCGTCCTTCATTGCGATGGTGGTGGTGGTGGCTACAGCAGGGATTCGACGACGACGCGGACTTTTGGCAAATGGAGGCAACAGCGGCAACTGGAGCTGCTCACGAAACGAAGGGCGGCCAGCGCGCCGCGCTCTCTTGCCTCGCCCATCGCTTGTACCAAGGGCCTAGTAGATCACTTGAGCTTAGTAAGGCGGACTCGATTTCACTATGCACCGTATGCTTGACATTTTCCACCAATCAACGTACAACAATGCAGACGATACATTCGCGCCTCGTTTTTGACACCTGCTCTGGCTATACTCCTGTAAAGAAGCTCGATCCAGCGCCAACTTTGCCGAACCAAATTGGTATCGACGTATTAATAGAGCCAACCGGGTTATTAATTCAGCTCGTGCTGTTAAGCCAGAAGGCATCCACACAATTGCTGTGGCGGTGGTGGAATATTTAAATTATCGTTTACTTAGTACGCCAAGAAATAGAAAACAATACAAAAGATGCGATGCAGCGCCATTCCTTCAATAGCGGTACCGCGAACCGCCGTTGGGTCAACTATCTTTTTGGAATTCATAGCACAGTTGTTGATCATTCTGCATACTGACGGCATTGCCGAGCTATACAATTACATGTATGGACCATACGATGGCATGCAACGAGAATCATTCATCTTCGGCGGGGGTGGCAATGTCGACGAAAATATCGTCCCCATCTGTGTGAGGCATCCAGAGCGCGGCTGCACCAGAGCCGCGTTTCCCGATTGCAGATGATGGACCGGCCCGCGATCCGCGAACTGCCCGGAGTGTTCCGCTGCGGCAAATCAGCTGTGTACAGGTACACCACCCGCTAAACAGTGCTTATTTTTCTGTACCGTACAATACATTTATAAAATTAAATGTTAAGAACATGGGCTTCACTATTAACAGTGATCGCGAGCCGGTAATTACAGTGATTGCGCGTGAGCTAAAGCAGATTGTACTGACAAATAATGTACTAAAATAAGTGGGCCTCGTACTCACGTGTCGGTCAAGACCTTTTTGTGGGAGACCTGCGTGAGCTTCCATTTTGGTAAGGAGTATATTAGTGGCTGTCACGGCTCAAATGTTTTGCAAGTTTCAACAGCCAATAGAATTCCTGCATGGCAATGCCAATGGCGTGATGAGGTTGTGCGAATAGCTTGATGAGGCACTGCATTGTCACATTTCGAGTAAGTGCGACTCTATATCAGAAAATAAATATGTGCGCGCGAAACTTAGAAGCGCTCACCTTGTGCAATTGCAGTTGACGAAAGCGCATTTAGTCGTCGCAGCCGTTGGTTGCTTCCCTACCGCTATTGCACAGAATCCGTAGCTCCATATCCAATAGTATCGGACCGATACAAGTAGATGTTACCCTTCAGTGCAATCTTTACTAAAGATTCTTAAGCGGACGCAGGTGGTACTGAGCCGACGAAGACACTTGACGTTGCAGCCTAGCTTGCGTTTCCGCCGGCACGTCGGCTCAAGTCTTGAAGTAACAGCACCAAGCAGCACTGGTTGCTTACTAGGGGAGCAGCAAAGATAACACGTCACGGCTGCTCTACATGAATTCGAGTCCATTTGGATGGAGCACCGCATTAATATAATAGCTCAGGGTTGCCAGCCGACAATCTTCTGTGGCTGTGAAGACAGCCTCGGGTCATAAGCCACAAATATTCATTCACCTGCGAAACTACAGGTACTTCACGAAGTACGTGTTTTACTTTTCTAAATCCACGCCAATATTTTCAAAACAGACAATCCTCTTTGTAGTCATACCGTCTTTATATCACTTTCCGAAGGAAACACTATCCCGAGTTGTACTGGGTACCCTCGCCTTGATGTTTTGCTTGTTAATATATTGGCTTTCAATGGATTGTGCCCCGGCTTCAAATGCTGCACAGCGTGAGTGTGCGCCAAACCCTTACATGGAGCGTGGAGTTCTGGAACTCGTTATTCCCACACCAATCTTTTTGAAATACTGGAAGCACACGGGTCTTCAGAGCTGTCATAGTTGTGGATATGAAAGTCCTGAAGTCGCCGATGAGCTTGCCGTTCTTGCACACAAAGACCTGATGTCCATCGAAGAGCTGCTATATATAAGCCTTACAAAAGAGAACGTAGTCGTAGATGAATGGGTCGCAAGCAGGGCCGGAAGAACCAAAAGTGGTACTGGATTTTTTCGGGCGTAGCTCACTAAGCGAGCAATGTCTTTAGTTAAGGGAATCTAGTCATTGATGTTAAGTACGATCTGGAAGCTTGAAATACTTTTTAACTTGGGCTGAGCTCCAACATCCTTAACTAGAGGTTATCACTATTTGGGATAGAGGTCTGTCTTTACTGTAGACTCTACAGTGTAGTGCTTCAACGTAGGCAAGATCGCACTTCAAGTTTCAAGTTTCCATAAAGATTTGGTCGTGAAAAAAAGCATTTACAGCATAAATTTAATACTCCAAAGTACTTTACCGGAAATTACAATTCTTGAAAGATTGTTTAGATTAGCGGGTGCGTGAGCGCAAACGAGATCTAACAATTGCCAGTCCAGCACGAGCAAAATGAAAAGGGTGCAAAACTGCGTTTTCTAACATTCGTGTCTGGATAGATACTGTTCATGCATGTACCGGTACAATTTATTTTATATTAATAAGGTAATACTTCTGGAGCATTGCGCTGGTTATCTTCCGATCTGAAGTCCCTGACCTATCCAAACAATTGATCGACTTGCTTGCACGATTTAACAGCACCGTTGGATGTTTCTGGTGAATTGTTTGCTCGTGCGAGTCCCCGTCACAGTAAGGAAAGATGTGGAAGCTTACAGTCTGGAATGTTTTGAGAACATGAGCTATAATAAGGTGAATTCGAGTGGGAAATTTATTGTCTCTACCGTGTCAATTGCGTATGCATACCCAAGCAGATACTGCATCGGCTCGACTACTATTACAGTACCGTAATGAAGATGTTCCTTGTTGCTAAAGGCAAGAGCAGCACGCTGTACATATATTTTAGGCAGACGTTCCTCTTCGAATGCTGAATGAATTCTTCACGAGAGTACACAAAACATATTTGTCGTTTCGATCTATATAAACTCTGGCAAAAAAACGAAATATAATATTTTATGATTTTTCAAAGAGTTTTATTGCAAAAAACACTCTGATGCTCGACTGAGAACAGCATGTGCTTAGGCATACCCTGAAGAGCTCGATGAACAAACAAAGCGAACGCTTCATCCGTCAGTTGACGTTCAGCTCGGCTGCATATTGGGGTATTTCTTGTTAGCTTTCAGTTTCTCCACAATCGACAGGTGCTGTCGCCGTAGCTGCATTCAAGTGTTTCTTGGGATCGTGGTCACGAGCCTGGGGAACGATGCAAGGTGGATGCTCATGTTGGAAGCGTAGCAGATGTTGTCACGTTACAGTGCTTGCATTTTGCCTGTTTGATGTTGTTGTTATCGGCGGGGTCGTCAAAATGACCTTAAAGCGGCCCTCATTTCTTTGCCATGGTTCGAAAACTGTTGTGAGGCAGCTGCAATTGGTCCGTGAAGTATTGCGATGGCAGGCAAGCTGCTGGAGCAGCGCACACTAATCGGATTGATATTCACGCCCGTGGCTTGACATACCAGTGACGTGGGTTCGAATTGTTTACAAAGCAGCCGGCGAAGCTCCTCGCCGCACTGATAGTCGACTGCGACGATAGGACATCCGAGGACACGTTTTGGGCCAAGGCAACGGCGTACCAGCATTCGGAGCTGCAAGGGCTGTGCACCTCGTGGTATCGGATTATGGACGACATTGAGCTGTACGAGCTGAGTCCGACGGATCTGATGATGTTGAAGGCGACGCTGTACTATTGGCGAATGTGGCAATACGTCTGCGCCTCATGCGTCGAAGCTGTGGTGTCCATTGAAGAGAGCGCGATGAGTCTG